ACCATGACAGACGTGCGTGAACGATACAATATAAGCAACTTGTATAAAGTTCCCTAAGCTCAATACGTCTGTGTAATTTCAAGTGTTATGATAATCTATTCCGCGTGTTAAACACAATTGAATTTGTCAAGTGAGAGTCTCAGAGGCAAAAATTTCTGTTGAGCATCTGATGATGTCACAGCTTATAATGCTAAAAATGGACTCGGGGAGGGGGCTTTCTAGGCTTTTTTGGCCTTCGCAGAGGAAACAGGACAAGAGTCTACCCTATCAAGTATTGTGTCTCTGGTGCAGTGTTACTGTTTAAGTCAATGGGGATGAACACGCAAAAAATTCAGGATTAGATCTAATGAGACCTTAATAAATAGACCTATTATATAGAAGGGGCAGGAAGGCCAGGGAGGGGGAGGGGGTGACTACTGATCATACAAATCTTCTAATCACACTATCAATAACTGTAATAATGGTCAATATTAAGCTGTAGGGGTATGATAACATAATCAATCATTGATAGCTAATTGCCATAATGAGGTACATTACTGAGTCACAAGTTCATCAAAAACCTCTCAATAGTATCTCACCCTTGCCAAGTTCATTTTATTCCCTTTTTACAGGCTAAAATATTGCAACTAATTTCCTTGTTTTTCTGGACAGTTTACTAAAAGAGTGTACATGTAATCTTATCTTTTTCAGGAACATTCTTCATGAACTCTTATCTTTTCCTTTCTATTTGTAGAGTAAACATAATTGCTGAATTTTTTCAAGGGTAACATACATTCCTTGAATGTATTCTTACTAAGCTATAAATTGGTCACATACTTAGCTTAAATTCCAATATGAGTTATAGTAATCATAAAACACGTAAAAATCAATTTCGGAGTTATTTCGTGGACTTTCAGGTTATGTCAATCATACTGAACCCTCATTGCATTTCTTTGAAAATAAAGAACAAATCCATCCAACATTAAACAAACATAATATTTTCTACTGAATTTTGTGAAATTGATTTCACCTATACACCATAAAACACAGTATTAGGATGTGAATGTGAGACACTATACTCCACGTTTACTATACCAGGTCAGGGTGACCCCATCTGTGCTCTACTAGGACATTCATTTTACAAAATGTTCTTTGTTCATCGTCATTAGATGGAAATACACTCAGAGTCTGAAATTGTGGGTGAAAACATTGCCACCTTAATATATCAAGAATTGAGTATAGAATAGCAAAATATTCCATTTCATATAAGAATAATTACTCACTCCATAGAGAACAGTAATCTGTGCTTTCATTAACGCCGTCCCATAATGGAGAGGACCCGGTTTTTACTATAGGGACCCCAAACAATGAAAATGAGGGGTCACTTGGACGCAGTGCAGGTCATATCAAAACAATTAACTCTGGATGAATGTATTGATAAAGATCTTACCTTCAGTCTTTTATTTGTTCAAAATCCGCTAAATAAACGAAGGATATTCTATTTCTAAAAGAAATAGAATTTTCTTTCGGAGTTTCTTTCCGATCAAAATAGTATGAGGTACGTGATTGGACAATCACTAGTAGTTGATTTCCGAGCGGTAATCGGTACAATTCCTATGATTGGCCGAGATTATTAATCGCGCATGCGTCTTAAAAATTTTAACTAATCAAATTGCTGGATTTAGTACGCATGCGCAAAAAACTGAACCAAAAATGGAACCTCACGGAGATTGCTCCTATCTAGTGAAACTCTGAGCGATCAAAATCAATAGCAAATTGCTTTGAAATACGCGAAGAAAAATTGTATTTAATGGTTGAAAATTAGATATCTCTTTCTAATGAAGGTATCTGCATCATTTAATGACCTACTAGACGTGTGTAGTACACTGATCTGGGCCAAAAAATAACAAAACTGATTCAAACTTTTCATCAATTTTTTTCGTTCAGTGCAAAAATATGACTTTGAATTCCCGGGAACCTTTTTTTTCATGGGAACGCACTTTTTTTGAGGGGGGACGCGATTTTGTAAAATCAATCCGTCCCAGGGAAGCACTTTTGGACAAGCCTACTGAAAGCACTGGTAATGTACCAACCAGTATATGAGACACTGAAATATGTAGATTTACAAAATTGATATTTCACTGAAGATATGAAATCACCATATTAATATACAGTAGAACCTGCTAAGTGGAACATCTCCATAAGTGGAACCCTCGCAAGTGGAACGCTTTTTCAAGTCCCGTTCTACTGTATATTATACCAGTGAAGTTTTTCTGGTAAAATTGCAAAAAATACTTGATACCACATCGAACTTGGATTTTCTTTTTTACTCAGATCAGCATATACATGTACATTGTACTTAACATATTCTCCATATATACATGCATTCTGTGTTACATGAATACATATAGTACTATACAAGTACATGTAAATCAAGCTTTGCATTCACAAACAATAGATAACTCTAGGCAACAGAGTACATATGAACCAGACATAGAAAAAAAATCATACTCATAGGACTGTACATGTATATATCATTAATTTGATTTATTAATTAGGGAAACCAATAAAATGAACAGTTAATTGATAACAATGATAATTACTCAATCTAACAATAAAAGTCTGATAGAATAGTGTACACATATATAGTACAGAATACAGATAATGTACATCACTATTATAATGCCTGTATATCTCGACTAATTCTAAAGCTATGCTATCTAAAAGACTATTGATTTATGTCCAGTAACCATGTGACTCACTAAAGTCTATAGTTTACACTTCCTATGACATACATTTGTTCAATCTGTAACTTTATCCCTTTTATGATAAATGAGTATATTAAAATATTTCTACGCTAATTCAGTTTTTATAGATTCCATTTCCTTCTTGAGGATGTATAATTATATGTATCAATTGTTTTGTACTTTTTGAAAGATGAAGAATAAAATTGAGCAATTTTTCTTAATCAGAATGCAGAATATAGTGTTCTTTCTAGCCTTGTCTGAATATTGTCACATTGGCAATATGCATGAAGATCGTCAACGTAACAAAAGCGAGGGACTAAATATGTAAATTGCGTCTTCATTAATATACCAAACATAGAACCGCCTGCATATTCTCAAATTAGACTATCTTCCTTAACTTTGAGCCAAATTATTGTCCACAACTTGACTTATAAGTGGTGTAAAATCGAAAATTAAAAACATCTTCACGAAAACGAAGCCCGGAAGTTCTTCCATCTTGTTACGCTGACGTATTGTCAGTGTAACTAGGTGAGTATAAGTGGTAATACTCAGGTTCTATCTTTACATCTTTGTAAGTATGGTATGACAACATTCTTCTACAACTAGTCATATAAATCGGACCATTGTATGCTGTTCTTCGAAGTTCCTTGTTCTTATTGGATATTCATTTTTTATCATTTTCTAAGCATACACGGTCGTAGATATAATAGCTAACAAATTGCGGGAAACGCTTTCCTGGCCTGTCTGGGTAACCATACCAACCAAAGTCACACAAATTATCGATTAATTATTTTGCTCCAACATCAAAGTGTTAAATCTTACCTTAGACATGTAAAACACTTGATAAGTGAAGAAATATAATCAATTGAAGTATATTTTCATTATCACCCGCCATGTTGCTGCATGATGTTTCCGGTGCTCAAAATGTGAACATGTATCGAAAGAGAATCATAATTATTTATAACACAGAGATTCAAAAGCTGTTCTCTCATACTACTCACTTTTCTCATTTCTGAAACAATAACTTTTCCACGTTACTTCCCTTCTTAACGACACTGCTTTTCTTCCATCTGAATCTTTGTATATATTCGTTTTTAATCTAGACTATCAGATTAACCCGGAAGTGACCTTGGTAAGGCAAAATGAAAACATTTTAAAATTCAAGCAGCATGCTTATATTTCTTCAATTACCAAGCGTTTTACGTGCCTAAGGTAAGACTAAATACTTTATAGTTGAAGCAAAGAAATTAATTTATCATTTGTGTGAATTTGGTTGGGTAGACAGGCCAGGAAAGCATTTCCCGCAATATAGAGCCGGCTAGTGTGTACGACCATCATATGCAAGAAAAAAGAAATATCCAAATAAGAAAATATAACAACAAATAACAGCAAAAATGTTGAATGCGGATGAATGATTGAATAAATGATATGCATATGTATAATAAAGAACACACGATTTACATCATATAAGTGTCATCATTGCTAAAATGAAATGTCTATATGGTCAATGTCAATAATCTGCAAAGGCTTTGAAATGTCTAAGACATTTATCTCATGCAAGTTGGAAAGCAAGCGAGTACTCAATGCCTGAGATTTTTGAAAAGTGAACCCCTTTGACAAAAGCTGACTACGGGCCTGTCGACCTCTGCCATGGAGTACTTTCAATGACAGACTCAGAAATCTACAGTTGGGGACATAAATAAATGACAGGTGGATTTGCTGAAGTGAGGATTTCCCATGTTAAAAATAAGAGAATTTACAAGAGGCCATGAATCAGTGGATGAGATTATACAAAATGTAAAATATACAAATTTTAAGGGATATGTATCTAGACAATATTGGAAATTATGGGCTTTCAGACCACCATAATTAGGAAATGGTGATCGAAAATCGACCTGTCATTTATTTTTGTCCCCAACTGTAAGGAAGTCATTTAGAAAACAAAAAAATTACATAATACAAAGTCAATATGAATCTTCATTTTTTTGTTGTTTTACACACGTTAACAAGATCTGTACAATGTACATTCGATTTTGCATTCACTTCCGTGTTTCTCGCACTTCGTGGGTTTTGAGAAAAATAAGAAAATAACAAACTTCCCAAAACCTTACTATCTAATTACACTGATAAATCAAGTATTATCGAAGATATACTTACCCATAACTCTGTTCCCCAACTCATGGCTTCATCTATAATGTCTTACAGTACAGAAACGGCGTGTAAATCCACAGAATATCGAGACAAATTTTTCAGTTCAGAAAAATTATAGATCCAATATGGCTGACCCGTGTGAATCATGGGAAGGACGTCGCCAAAAATATCACATATAATCTTTGCGTTTATGTCTAATCATACGAATTTTTACATACTGTTTATATCACATTACTAAAGAAAGGTTAATTTTATGGTAACCAATCATTCTATTAGCCAATATGTTTGTGTTAAAGTAGTGCAGTTTTGCCGACGTATCCACAAATTTTGAAAATTCAAAATGTCTTTCTTTACTTTGCCAAATTTGAAAGATGTTAGTGGTCAAAATCAGCTCAATATCACCACGAACGACGTTGAAACTCAACCGGAAGACAGCACAGATAAAACTGCAAAGGTATGACACTCAGTGTATTCCCTATGTGGTTAGAAATATGTTGATTTATAAAATTTGTTATTTTTCTGTTTTTCTCTTTTCTGTTTTTTTGTTCAGTTGGCGCCGAAGTTTTTGTAATAATTTCAGTTTATGTTTGCACACACATTCCTCACATTTTTACTGGTCCTCGTATGACAACACTTGTCTGAACGTTATGCCAGTCTTGCAATCTTGTGTAGATATTCAGTCTTACTCGATCTACCACAGGCCCTAGTTCAACAAGTTAATCTAGTCTGGGCCTTATTTCTTATCTGACATATCTTGTGGCCCACCCTAGGTTTAACATCCGTGCCTATTTTGCCCTTGATGCAAAAAGTTTAATGATAACCTATGACAGCGCATGAAATTCTGGTATGTATCCAACAGACTGACTAGAAGTCAGTCTGCTATGATGTACTACTTTCCTGTGAAAATTGCAGTGAATTTTTTTGCACAAAATTATCAATTGGAGGAACAATTTCTTCAATAAAATGAACATTACAAAATTTCAATTAAATAGTAAGGTACAATTAAATGCAATAAAAAGTAACACAGTATATTGTCAAGTGGAAATAAAGCTAGTTGAAGTAACAAATATGAAAATTAATTTTACCCAATCGGCCATTGTGAATAGCACTTCCTATGTAAACAAAATTTTCAAACTTTAACATAGGTGCCTTATAGTCTGAATATAATTCAGACTAAATAGGATGGAAACAGAATCGTCAACACATAGAACAATCTTCCCCAATCTGTAATAGACACCACAGACAGATATAAATCAATTCAAGAATGGAATTGATAAGCACCTGATGAGACAGAAATTTCTTCACCACAACTAACCCATGTCCAGTGAGCAATTAAACAATGCCCCCCTTAACATGATATGAAAATAATACATAAAAAGATCTGGATTATACAGGACTATCCTTCTTCCAGAATTATAGATATAGATATAGATAGTCTACATGAAATTCCATGCGCGTTTTATTAATAACTGATAGTGAGAATTTGCAAATGAAAGCAGTGTTCCCGTTGACGCCGTTTTTTGCCATTTTTACGGAAATTTCAGAAAAAATCAAAATCAACTTACGTCCCTAGGACGCAAAAATTATAAACTGCTTCAAGATAACTTTTACTGCAGCACAGTAGCGGTGAAACATGATTTTCATCAAGATTTTCAAACTCACTACCTTGATATACGAGCAATGATCCAGGTATATTTATATCAACAAATCTGATTGGCTATCATGAACAGGGTTTCCAGTATGAGACATGGATTTTGATTGGTTCCGATATATTCCGGAAAATGCCGCAATCGAAATGGAAGATCAAAACATACAATATTGCAGAAATCCCCTGTGGTTCCCCACAAATTGAAACGATTGTTTTTCACGATTATCTTTATTATTTCCACTAGAAACCATTATATATTGATCTAATGTTATACATCAAGATAATTGTTTAATGATAGATCGAGGGTTTTCATCTAAAAGTCTTCAGATTAAGGAGAAATGTTAATAAAAAGAAGCAAAAGTTCACGACCTTGACATGACCTTCAAGATCGCAAGTTTTAAAATGTGAAAACAAAACTCTTAATTTGAGCATTTCCTTTTTTCATTTCGGACTATTTTGGTATAACATTACTTCAGAATTGTGTGAAAAGGACCCAGTGATAGATATTTATCGGGAGGATGCATCAAATTACAATATATGTCATTTTTATCCCATTTTAGTGTAAGCACTCTATTATCGCCCACTTTATTTTCACTTTCACAATATTTTCTTGAACTTTGTGAAGAAATAAGAGGGACGCAAATAATTAGATGGGGACTCAAATTTTTCAAATGGGTTGCGTCTCTGGAACTCAGAAATTTTAATGGCTAGCGCGAACATTGTGAAAGCATTGCACGGAAGCAATCACGACAAATTGACATTCTTTAACTGCAACCTCTATAATATCTAGAACGAGTGTCTCATTATTTAAAGAATTTTATTTCAATTATTTCATTTAAACCAATATATTGATGGTGATGGTATGAATTCATAGTAATAGGCACTGTACATTTCAGATAAATGTAGTATATTGTCTATTATAAACTTTTTAAAAATTGTGCATGATATTTCGGACTGAAACTATTGAAATGATCATTAGAGTATTCCAGCCATGAATTTAAAAAATCAAAACTTTATAGATGTGTAGTTCAAAAAATTGTAAAAGAATAAGTAAGTCTGAGAATGTTATTTTTAATATTTTTTCAGCATTAAGAGAAATAAGAGACATCTATTCTTCAATATATTTATCACTGCCGTATGTATATTCTGTTATTCACCAATGATATCTTCCTCAATTGCCTCATAGATGAATATCATATTGGAGGGATCTTCCAAACATTAAAGCAAGTGGATGCAGCACCCACCTGAGATTTTGATAATAGACTTGCACCCACCTGAGTATCTATTTGCACCCACCTGAGTATCTATTTGCACCCACCTAAAAATGAGAAAATTCATGAAAAATTGAGATATTTTGTCCAATTTTGGTCTGAATTGTGAAAATGAGGATTTTGCACCCACTTGAGATAAAATCCTGTGGAGAATGCTGGTGTGTATGCATGATGTTGAAGCATTGAACTCATACCAATAATCATAAAATGAAGAATAAAGTTGGAATAACCATATTTATCATTGTGTCATATTAAGAACATGACTGTATTCACGCCTTCTATAAACTGTAAACAAAGTCAACATTTCACCCGGGGTATATTCGCGAACAAAACCCCTGGTAATACATGTAAAGTGTGATGTCATAACGGGGGGCCGTAGTAATGGCGGACCATAATGAATATTCAAAACATTTTGGTGAGTTTTCATGTTCGAATCATAATATAGACCTCAGAGCAGGTATAATATTGTCGAATACATCCCTTAGGGCTAGACACAAAAGCTTTCGAACCCCTCACTCCCTTCGGTCGTTTGGGGTACAGAAAACGTTTGTGCCTAGCCCTGCGGGGTGTATTCGACAATATTAGATATGTGTTTTTCTGAAGTACAAGGGTTGTCACATGTTTGCACCTTCTGACTATACAGTTGTACTCTCTTATCTTGATTGTTTGAACTGTGCTATTATTCTGTACCAGCATTTTTGACTTCATGTTCATCAATTTTATTGACATGTTTTTTTGATTTTTTCAGGCAAAGCAGAATTTAAAGTTATTCAATCAGGTAAGCCAATTGAGTCTGCTCTAAAAGTCATTTTGAATATGAACGGTTGTGGTGTATTTTGTCACAAAGTCATATTTTAGAAAGATGGGGAGAGAAGGTAGTAATGGAGGGGAGGGGGTGGGGGTTGGGGTTACACATCTTTAATCAATTAATCAAAAGTTTCTTCAATCTTATATATCATCCAAATGTTTAAACATGCTCATTGAAGATTACCCTTGTTTGTAGAAATTTAATTGATTTTGTCATTTCAGTTTTGCAGTACGGTTACCCCTTTTCTGACTGGTAATGAAGAAATGGTTGGATTCCTTCAGAAAAGATTCCATGCAGCGAGTGATATGTTTAAAGCTTCTGAAGACCTCCAAAACCTTCTCAACACAACCCTTATGAAAATACTCAAGGACAAAAATAATGTTTTTGTGCACATAAGAGACTTAAATAACGAGTTTAAGGCATACAGAGGAAGTAAAGTGCATAAAAAGAGACGATGTGGCCATGGGGATGGTAGTGGTACAGATAGTAGTTGCATTGAAGCATCTGATGAAAAGAAACGCCGAATCAATGGCAAGCAAAATGGTGATTTTGGCTTATCTGAAACCTCGGATTCCACATATATATCAGACATTTCTGTATCAACACATCTGAAACAAAATCATTCAAAACAAAAAGATAATAGCTCAAGAACTAATAGCCCAATTTTGGAACTAACCCCTACAAGAGAAATAACTAACAAAACTTTACATAGACTAACCATATTTGAAGCTGAGGAGACGACATCGGATCCTGATTCAAAACGAACTCCAAAAACGATCCTGAATGGCTCTAGGAGTGATTCAGAAACCCCTCAGTCAACTGGTGCCTCAAGGATATTCAACAAAAATACAAGTATCAAATTACATAATATTGGTGCTGCTGGTCGGAAAGACCCTGAGGAATGGACTGACCCTGGGGAAGGATGTTCAGGTCTAGCTGATACAAATAAGCCTGATGATCATGAGGATCTCTTAAATGATGCCAAGGTTGCTTTGGAAGATGGTAAATACATTATTTATTTTTTTATTTGAACAATAGCTTGCAATTTATTACTAAATATGATATCACACAGTGTAACAGCTAATCATGTATAAATGGCCAGTTGTAATGTTTCTTGTCTTCCAGGCATTTTTAAAATTCATCAAATTCTTTAAATAATGAAAAATGATTGCAAAAGCTCAAAGTGTTCATATTGAGAGGTGTTCACATTAAAATTTCTTGCAACATGCATTTCAATAGAACGTCAAAAGAAAGTATACCTAAACCTGTTAAGTAGAACACCTATCCTAAAAGTGGAACACCTCTGTTAGTGGAACACCTTTCAGAGTCCAAAGACCAACTGACTTAATGTTTTAATGAACCTCTACAAGTGAAAGACCTCCCAAGTGGAACACTTTGTAGAGGCACTGAAAGTGTTCCACTTAGACAGGTTTTACTGTATTCATATTTTAAGATGTTTACTGTAGAGAGGTGATCATATTCTAAAGTTTTACTGTAGTTACTAACCATAATTTCGATTTATTAGATCCAGAACAAAGTCAAAGTGAAGGTGAAGGACGTAGAAAAGAAAAGAAGAAAGGTTCAGCTAAGCAGCTGAAAAAACTTGAAGATCTCTTAGAAGTAGGTATTAGGCAGTGATCTTGCCAGCATTAAAGCACGGTGCGGCACCTACTTGTAATTTTAGATATAGACTTGCACTTGCACCCTCCTAAAAATCCATTTGCAATATTGCGCCCCCTTGAAAATGAGGAAAACCATGAAAAATAGGCATATTTTGACCAATTTTAGTCCAGATTGTGAAATCAAAAAAACAATTAAATAGAAGGAATATAGTCACGCGGTACAAACTTTGAGGCCTTCTTACAGCTGGGGACCAAAATGCCGCTGGAAGTAGGGACTCTGATTAAGAGAATAGTGTACCATCAGAAAGGGATTTTTGTGATGCTTTGAATGGAACAAGTTTGAAGAAAAACGGTGCAGTATGAGACTCGTAATCCTTGATTTTCAAACATCCGGTAGGTCAAAAATTCAAATTAACGGTCGAAGTTTGTACCACATGATAGTGAATCCTGTTTCATATTTGAGTTAGGATAGTGTAGAAAAATCCACAGTTGTAGAAAAACAAAAGGAATTTTATGATTTAACTCCCCACCTCTTAACCTTTGCATTCGTTTGACTTCACTTCTTAAAAGAGAGCTTCGTCTTCATTCTTTCAAACTAAAATAAACCTGTGAACTCACCGCGCCAATCAGTGTTCGTCGGCCAAATTTGACCGTCGTTCTATATATGGTCATTCCTTCTAACGTCATCGTTGAGCCCGGAATTGACCAATGACATGCGCATATTTAATTAGAACGCATTTGGCGTATGTTTCTTCAAGCTCGCTGACTGGTGGAAGAAAGGTCAGCGCGTAGGTCAAAAGTGATTTATTACCCAAACTGTCACCAGCACCCGTCGTGGGGGCGGGGCTACTAAACTGTAATATGGTCTCTACTAGGCAGAGTGTAGTTTAACTAGACTCTGCACGCAGGGTACCCACCTCTAAGCTAATTTAGTTTTTCCACATCAGTGATAGTTGGACACCATCTCAAATAGTGTACATTCCAATGAAATTATCAAATAAACTGTCTGATTTCTCATTAATTTAGCCTCAGGTATAGATAATTCTATTGATAATATTTTTGTTCTACTCTTGATATATATAATATGTATATTATGAGGTTATATAATGGTTCTTTCTGTATCGTGTTTATACTCGAGTGAGTATATGATATATTCACAAGTGAGCGTAGCGAACGAGTGAATATATTATATTCTCACGAGAGTATAAAATGCACGATATACAGAATGAACCATTATATAATCTTATTATGCCACTCTAAGTTCAATGTACAGTTGATTCGAACACAATCGACAATAAAAACCATAAAAATATCCCATAGCCAACTCAATAATGCTGATGTTGATCTCGAACCATTTATGACGTGGCTTGATTCTAGCAAATCATGCCGGCACCATTTATGACGTCACTTGATTCTAGGAAATCATGAAAATTTTCATGATTTTTTTTATTCATTAGTTCCCAGAATGCACTTCTACAGTGGTATACGCTGGAGTGTATACGGAGCATGCTATGTTCTTTTAATCCTTTTAAAATTTTATAGAAAATTAGCAAGAAAATACAAGCCCTCAGCGAACAAGAATTAGATTTTAGCGATTTGGATCATGAAGATTCAACATACCTCCAAGAGGAAAAATTAAAACGGCACTTCATGAAGATCTGGAAGCGAATATGTCAGTTGAAAGAAAGGAGTGATGCAACAGGCCGTCTCACAGAGACAAAGTTCAAATTTGAAGGTAAGAAATATCTAAAATCAGAGGTTTTATGTCACCACTAGGATATTGTAATAGTCTTCAACTTTTTCGTGGATGGCATTTGGCAGCTGGTGTTTTGCAGTTGGCATTCGGCGACATCTGTAACAAATGGCAGGTGGTGACATTTGGCATGTTAATGCCTTGTTGAAGCTTTTAAAGTATTTGTAAATACAAACTGCACACTCCTTATGAGTGCATGAACTCACATAAGTCGAGGCTTGCATTCACTTTGACAGCTCCACATCTTTTTCACTTGTTTGAAATGCAATAAAAATCAAAAAAAATCAAAGCCAATAGATTCTGAATGTTCTAAATATTGAAGGATAGTTCTTGATTGATGGTTTGATAAATATTAAGTTAAATTGTATAATTTTTTTAGGAACCAGGTATCCTGATATTAATAAGAGAATTGAACGCTTCATCAACAAAACCAGACAGTTCCCTGATTATCATGATATCCGGAAAGAAATCATGAAAACCAATCAAAAGAAAGGACTTAAATTAGGGTAAGCTTTGGGGTCAAAATCAAACTTATAGTCATAATGCTGATCCATTGATGATGCAGACGCACCCTCAGAGTGTTTAAATGTAACCTTTGAACAGTTAAAAGAATTTTACCCACAGCCGGGTCATAATCAGTTTAAACCAACTGCACCAACATTTTCTCAACCAATTAAAAAGCAACAAGAAAGATGTTTAAATAATGTTTAACATTGATCAATTCTGGGTAAGAAATTACAATATAAGGAAAATTGAAAATTGTCCTTCTTTCGACAACAAACTTCTGGCCTGTCGAGTTCAGAGGGTTCTCTTACACTTTAAAAGTGTAGAGTTGACAAAGCTATCATTTAAGTACAGTAGCTTAGTCAATTGAATTTAAAGGGTACGAAGAAATGATCTGTGTACCTTGAATATTTTTGAGAAATTGATAACCTGATAGAAATGGTGAAAGTTCAAATATTGGAAAAAACAAAGGGCAAATGTATTTTAAAGTAAAGCCAAGTTACGAGATGATATTTTGATGACAAACTCTACAAGGGATATAAGTAGTATGTTTACTTTGTGCCACTCAGCCTTATCTTGCAATGGATGTAGTTTTTAATGTGAAATGAAGTGAGTAGTTCAAGTTGTAGTTAATATCTTCCACTTATAAGTAATACACAATTTTATATAATTCTCCTCTATGTTTAAACAAATACCACCTTAAGATTCATGGTTCAAGATTGATTTCTCTTTCGTAGGATAATCTTTTCCACATTCAATGCCACTATATTTTGGCCTATCACTTCCTATAGGGTGAATACTATTTGATTCAATGTGAGGCAGCAGGAACTGTTTTAAAACTGTTAATTGTGCACTTTAAGTCACACCACACATTCGCAAGTGCTGATTTGTATTGGCTGCAGCTATATGGCTAATTCACATTAACAAACAACTGTAGCATGTATTCCAATAATTTATCAGTCCTTAATGTCTAAAACAGACATTCTAAATAAATACCATCACAATTATTACATGTAATTGTATTGACACATTTTCATTAAAGTTTGAAAATTAATAAACTGACCTTTTGTAAATCAATAGATTGAATTAGATGTAGTAAAAATATTTTCAGCTTATCACATTCCTTGTCATATACCAAGCATATTTTCTAAAGATTCCCTATTATAACTTTGTACTTTATTTATTTCATGGAAAGTACAAATTTTCCGTTTTTTGTGTTCATATTTCTATGAATATTAAGATTAAGATCCTACCAGATCTGATCTTTATGACTTGCACAGCTTAAGGCCAAGCCAAAAATGAAAAAATAGTATACATACATAGTTTCACATTTCAGAAAAAGAAGCATAGATGAGCTGTCAAAGGAAGCATTTATCGAAGTTGGCAACAGTCTTCAGAGTCGACGCAAAGATGACTTTGTCAAAGATTTCGGATGTCACATGACTGATACATACAGGTAAGATGAGGTCTGACATTTTTATTACTTACTTTTCTTTCAGATATCTTGTCACGAAAAGGAACTGAAGAGAAGGAACTCATTCTTTTGGATGTATGAATTCACATATGCAAAAAGATATCTAGCTACCTTGAAAATGTTTTTCAAGATCATCTACAAGTTCTCAGAAGTTCAAATCTGACATTAGATTTGAGATATGACCTTCAATGACCTTTTTTTCCAAAAGCAACAAGTTCTTAGAAGTTCAAATCTGACTTTAGATTTGTGATTTTACCTTTAAAGGAATTCGGTGATAGAGAATAACAAAATATTGCTTCTAGGACGAGATCAAACGACTTTGACATCTTCTTCACTCAACCTGTTTTGTAATTTAACAATCAAGACCAGTATACCTACCGTATTTAAGCAGATATCAGACAAATTCATAAAAGTATAAAAAAGATCACCTATTTAAATTATTTCAAATTTTGCCGTGGAATCTTCAAATGCTGACTATGATTTCTATCTGTAATGTTTTGACTTCCCCGATTCATAAAAAACATTATCATCATTTACTCGACTCAAAATTCACTTCCCGTTTATCTTAATAAAGATGAACTGAAAGTTGTCATGAACAACTTTCAATCCTCTGTCTAAATATGGCTTTTCAAGGTTAAATAGACGACTTTGAATGGACTTTCATGCATAGTGTGAAAATAGAATCACCAAAGAAGGTTTTAAACCATAAAATGGAAGCCAGAAGAAATTATTTTGAACCATTTTATCGGCTGTGAAGTATAGTGTGTCTTTAACTACCTTCTCAAGGTAAAAAAAGGTCTTTTTTCAACTTGCTTCAAATTGACCATTTTTTTCTCAAAATTATCTACAAATCCTCAGAAGTTCAGATTTGATTTTTAGATTTAAGACTTGACCTCTAATGACCCTCTCAAGGTAGAAACGGTCAAAAAGGTATTTTTAAATTGCCTCAAATTGACCATTTTTTCAAAATCATCTACAAGTTCTCAGAAGTTCAAATCTGACTTAAGATTGAACTCATAATATTGTGAGCAAATATGTGTTGACATTTTGTATATCAAAAGCAGCAATGTTTAAAAGATTTCACAATGACAAACATTAAGTCAGTCATTCAAGGTAACCCTCTTTAATGACAGTGCTGTAGGCTATGCTACACCAATAAATGCCCATCATAGTTTTTCTAAAGACTCAAAGATTTTGTTCGGCTGTATTGAATTTTCAATTTCAGCTTTATTTGTCTGGCCAACTTTTAAACTTTTATTTGCTTATTTGGAGATAATTCAATATTGCATATCCCGGGTTGCATATACTGTATTTATCATGTCAAGCATCTATTTACACTTTCAAGCACATAGCCATGTAAAACTAAAAGTGTTTGTGAAAAAATAATATGGAAATAGCTAGGAATACTTTAGATTTTTCATCTCAGAAGTGCTGAAATGTCACATTTTTATGTGACCACTAAATAGTTTGGGATAACCTCTTGTTGTCCTCCATAGATAACTAGATAACTAGACTTGTAGTTGAATTCTTTGAAAATTTGAAGCTTCTCACAGCTGGGGACCTGAATGCCTGTATAAATAAACGACGGGTACCGGTGACAGTTTGGCTACATCACCTTTGACCTACGCGCTGACCTTCCACCAATCAGCGAGCTTAAAGAAACATATGCCAAATGCGTTCTAATTAAATATGCGCATGTCATTGGTCAATTCCGGGCTCGACGGTGACGTCAGAAGGAATGACCATATAAAGATAGTCGGTCAAATTTGGCCGACGAACACTGATTGGCACGGTGAGTTCACAGGTTTATTTTAGTTTGATAGAGTGAAGACGAAGCTCTCTTTTAATAAGTGAAGTCAAGCGAATGCAAAGGGTAGACAAAGGTGTATAGTTGAATCCAATATTTGATTAGTTAAATATTAAAGCATAGCTTAAGGGGGAAACAACCAAGCTCTCCATAGACTGCTAGCAATACAGACAAGATATCACTCTACTATACCTTGCATTTAGTGTTCATGAGCAACCCATTTGGCTTAATAGTAATGATAATGTTATTTGTTTTTATTTGTTTGTTCCTTATGAATGGTTTATCGGAAGACTGTTAGATGTTAATAAGGTACTTGCAAAAATATACTAAACAATACAATTAGACTAACAGAGTATCTTATGCATTTCTGGGTGTTAGGTATAGTAGAGTGGATATGTGTAAGGGCGACAAACTTTGTCCAGTATATAGTAAATACAGGATTATGATTAGACTGCTAGAAATACAGAATAAATATTTGAAAGGGCAACAAACTGAGCATATAGTAAAAACAGGATTCTAATTGTCCAAAACTCAATACATCCAATGAGCCAACAAGCAGTGCATGATGTGTGTTCTGTGCAGTGATTATGCTTGCAGCTACTTATTCATTGCAATTGTATTCGAGTTTGTATGATTGGAGTTTTGGACAGATTTTAGTACTCTCTGGCCCATTGTATCTTCAGATTTATTCATTTTATGATGATGTAATACTGACCTTTTTTTATTTGAACAAGAGTCTTTAATCAACTATTGCCTGAGTCACATTTGCTCCAATTCATCAAGTGGTGCCCGGTGCCCGGCTCATTGAGCATTTTATTCAAAACTGAATGTAATTTTTAACAAAAAACTCAATTTGCCAGGCGCTGACCGATGAATCGGAGCAAATGTAACCCAGACAATACAAATGACAATGAATCATCTCAGTTTGGTCACTGGCAAAGTATTTCACTATAGAAACACATAACTTATTTCTCCTGGCCTAAGGTTTTTATAGAACTAGTATTCCACCAATAATATTGGTTATAACTGAAATGAATTGTTTGAAAACTGAATCCAGACAAATGTAGCAAAAATCACAAGTAAAAGGAGGAATTTTTCAACATATAACATATATTAGAAATATTAAAAAAGGTATGGATTGGAGACAAAAAGGAGTAATTGCCCTACTATGTTTATGTGTTGCAGTATATACATTTGTAACAGTAAGCAAAAGTAGGAACTCAATTCAAGGATTTACACCACCCCCACTAAAGGTTTGAATGAGCAATACATTTTATGACATTTTCTAATCTATAAGACATATTCAAAGTATATAATTTAATGCATTGTTTTTTATATAGGTATTGTCAAGGATTAATATAATTACATGTACTGGGATATTATGGTGACCATCCTCTGTAACATTTATGTAAAATACTGGATGAGCGTGGTGTAAAAGTGGTTTTGAAAAGTAGCAAATTTCTCTTCATGTAGGTTATTTGTGGTTTATTATTCTACATTGATTCTGAAATTATTGGTGTCTAGTTTTTCAGCGTTTTGGAAATATGCAGATTTATACCCCCCTGGTGTAATTTTAAGGGGGGCACTAGGAAAGCAATATATAATTTCTAGAATACAGAGCCAATCATCTTGATTTTTCCAGGTAATCATGTACGTATCATGTCCTACCATTATGACAAGTTTCATTAAAGTTGATCAACTGGTTGCTATGAAAATGGAGATCATATGTTAAAAAAGTACACATTTTTGCCAAAATGTAAGATACCCCATGAGACAAAACACATATTATTTTCATGAAATTGGGAGGAATCACCATGAAACCATTTTAGAAAACTTATTCAGAGTATGTTTGATAATATTAAAGGGGGGGGGGGGGGCCCATTAAATCAACTGCTGTTTTATTTTATCCGCACAGTAGAATCTATTGCTGATGATTATATGTCAATGCAAGTAAATTTATAAAGGGGACATGGCACCGCTTATCATGTCCTACCAGTATGACAAGTGCCATCAATGCTGGTCAATTGGTTGCTATGGTAAAAGAAATAATTTGTTAAAAAGTGCACATTAAGGGGGTACTATGAAAGCCATGTATAATTCCTAAAATATTCAATCAATCATCTTGATATTTATGGGTAATCATCTGTCTACATGTCCTACCAGTATAACAAGTGCCATCAATGTTGGTAATTTGGTTGCTATGGTAACAGAAATCATTTGTTAAAAGAGAACACATTTTCGTAAAAATCTAAGACTCATGCAACCTTTGACAATAAGCACATTATATGTTCATCATTTTGGGAGAAATAAGCATGAAAACATTTCATAAAACTTATCACATCTCATCAATCACAATAGTGGACGTTTTATTGCCATCACTGGTCATCAACGGACATGTTTTACACTCAGAGCAATACATGCTCTTGTTCTCAACTTTTTTTATGTCTGCTGTTTTTTCAACTGTTCGTTGTTTTTAGAATTCATTAAGAAGCCTTTCCAGTATTTTTAATTGGGTGTAATAGTTGTATATATCTCTTAGTTTGTTTATTACAAGTGACGTGGCAACTTGTTGATGGCAAAATAGAGCCAAATTGGCCAGACCAACCCATTTCACCTGCTGATGATCTCAGAGACATATAGTCACATAAAGATGGCAACGGATGCTTTGACAGAAGTAGACATTGAAAGATCTATTAATGAGGATTTTGAGGCAAATGATATAAAAGATGACTAAGTGAGATCAGCTTATAATTTACTATGTCCCTACGCATAATGTGACAGCTGCATTCTGCATAGTTTTATTATCATAAGCAAATACAATGCATCAAATGGCCCAGAGTGACAATTTGAGTGATTACTTGCATTTGACAGATTCAGGACAATTAATACCAGGATTAAAAACTTAATATCGGGATTAAAAACTTTTAATACTGGGATTTCCAAAGCACTTGGATACAATTAGATCTTCTGACATTTTAACTTTTTAACATGACAATCCTTTTAATATCGTATAGAATTTACTGCATGCATTTTAACTGCAACATTTTTATTATTAACTTTTTATTGTAATTTTAAGCTGGGGAATAAAGATTCAATTTTATCGTATTTTATTTATGATTTTTATTAAAGTATAGTAAGTTGATACTTGTTAGAAAATTACATATACCCTATTACAGTAAGTTGACACACATCAGACAACTACCATATCATCGCCCACTAAGATCGATCTTCAATTACTTAATTATATTTCCGAATTTTATGTTGCCGTTTCTGTTTTGCATTCGGCAATCGGCAACTTTAGATCCACGGCAATATTTCATGTTATACAGTACTCAAAATAGGTTTTCTAAAATGTATTCATGCTAATTCCTCCCAATTTGATGAAAATTTTCAATGTCTTAGGGTGTGTCTTAAAATTTTACGAAATGTGTACTTTTTTAACAAATAGATTTCTACCCACATTGATGAAACTTGTCATAATGGTAGGACATGATAAGTAGAAGATTGTCTGTAAATATCATAATGATTGTTTTGATATTTAATGAATTATATATAGCTTTCATAGTACGCCCTAATGTGTACTTTTTAAAAGATGATTTCTGCTACCATAGCAATCATTTGCCCCACATTTATGAAATTTGTCATGTGTAAAAACATGGTGAGTAGATGATTATCTGTCAATAACAAGATGACTGGTTAGATATTCTAGGAATTATATATGGCTTTCATAGTACCTCCCTTAATGTGTATTTGTGAAAAAATGATTTATGTTACCATAGAAACCAATTGTTACACATTAATGAAAATTGTCTTGGTTGTAAGACATGATATGTAGATGATTACCTGTAAATATCAAGATGATTGGCTGTATACAGTATATTCTAGGAATTATAGATGGCTTTCATTGAACCCCCCTTAAAATTATACCAAGTGGGTATAAATCTGCATACTATAGTAAAAAGTAAACCAACACTGATGAAACTTTCCATGCTAGTCAAACATAATAATGTGAATAATATCTGTGAATATCAGGACAAATGGTTATTCATTTTCTTCCAAATTTTGGACACAAATTAAGAATTCTTTGGAAAAGTGCCACGCCCCCTTTCTAAATTTATTTGCATTGCCATTTAATCATGAGCAATAGATTTCACTGTGTGGATAAGATAAAACAGCAGTTGATTTGATATTATCAAACATACTCTGAATAAGTTTTCTAAAATGTTTTCATAGTGTTTCTTCCCAATAACATGAAAATAATATGTGTTTTGTCTCATGGGGTGTCTTCCATTTTGACTAAAATGTGTACTTTTTGACGTATGATCTCCATTTCCATAGCAACCAGTTGACTTACTTTGATGAAACTTATGACTCTTGTAGGACATGATAAGTAGATGATTACCTGTAAATATCAAGATGATTGCTTGTAAATTCTAGGAATTTTACATGGCTTTCCTAGTACCCCCCTCAAAATCAAACAAGGGGGGTATAAATCTGCATATTTCCAAAACGCTGAAAAACTAGACACCAATATTTTCAGAATCAATGTAGAATCATAAACCACAAATTACCTACATAAAGAAAAATTTGCTATTTTTCAACCACTTTTACACCACGCTCATCCAGTAAAAGTAAGTTGTTAAGGTTCTGGTAGGATGAAAACATTTTAAAAAAATTGCTATACCAACACATGTTATTTTCTGATAAAAATACAGTATGAAAGCATCTGTGTATTTCCTTGCTTTTTTCAGGAAAGCATAATTTCATTGTCTTCTTTAAATCTGGTTAGAGGTCTATGGTAACTCCAGGAAATGCAGTTACTTCAAGAAAATGGCTGCCTTTTCAATTTTCCAAATTTCTTCTCCAAGTTTCTCAACAACACTAGATTGGCATTGACCACTTACCAGATACATGTATACTGAAAAATGTCATACTTTATTTTGTACTAGAAAATAACATGTGCAGGTCTAGCAATTTTTTGGAACGTTCCAGTACCTTCCACTACCATAAGCAATTATTTGTATTTTCATTGAAATGTTATTTCTAGGTTGGGTATACTTTCAACATGTGCATCTTTAATACAAATCAGAATTTCAAGAGAGTTGACAACTCATATATACCATTTTGAGCATTCAAAATGAATTAGATAATGTCTAATAAAATGTGTTGTTCATCTTAAGAATAATCGTAACCAGGTTCCCATCAAGGAAGCAAGTATTGCCCCACCACATTATCCTTATGAAGATGTGGATATTTGGAAATATATTGATGCTACTTCAACAAGTCCTTTTAGGAAACCAACCACGCAGAACACATCCCTAGTGATCTATAATAGAATACCAAAATGTGGCTCAACAACTTTGCTGACAATGATTAAACGATTACAAAGAAATAATTCTTATAATGCAATAACATCTAGTGATTATTTCCATGAACGATTAAAAGAAGAAGGTTGCAAAGCATTTGTGCGGAAATGTAGTAGAATGAAAAAAAGGACAATTTTCAATCGACATATATATTATGTGCCATTTGGAGAAGATCACAAAAAGGAGCCAGTCTATATAAATATGATTCGAGATCCAGTAGAACATGCTATATCATCATATTATTTCTACAGACACGATAGCCTGTTAAAAAAAAAGTTCTCTCCTGAAGAGAAAAACATGAGCCTCCAACAGTGTTTATCTGGTGCGAAATCAGAGCAAGATTTAACCCGATGCAACTTGGACACTTCGGTGTACCCGAGATGGTTCTGTGGCCATTCTGACGCATGCCTGTACAACATTACGTATGCCATAGAGAAGGCAATATACAACATCGACAATGCATATACATTTATTGGTGTTACAGAACAATACAATATATCTATTCAGTTTTTTGAGAAATTATTGCCAGAATATTTTAGGGGGGCATGGAGAGACTATGTATCATTGAGAAAACCAGCGTTAAAAAAAACATCAGGAAAAATTGAAGTATCTACCGATATAAAAGACTTGATGAAATCTCATTTAGCACCTTCATATGTCATTTATAACTATATCTTAAAGAAATTTAAAGCAACTGTTGCAGCGCATGGATTGTAATGTAGAGAGTTTTATTTATTTAATTTTTTGAGGAAGCAGAAGAGAAACACAAAGACAAAATAATATTTATATATAGAAATGTATTACTTGATTTAGTGTGCCCCAATAGAACATAAAATTATCATTTAGGACACTATGCATTATATGACTTCAACACTGCTGGTTGATTGGAGAAAGTACCTGTTGAACATGTTGTATATGTGGTGGATGTAAAGAATCATTGAAATAATTTGTATTATATATCAATTTCTTGAGTTGTTTGACCCAGCCTATGAAGTTTATATTTTCCAGATTTTTGATTGAAAAAGAATTTTGATGGCTAAGTGACTGTTGATATTTGTTTAATATAAGATATATGTATATCCGATGTTGCCTATATTGATATCCCATTACTGTTCTGCAATGATAAAGTCACATTATGTTATTATTCACATTATTATGACTAAATCACCTCAAATCTTGATAGGGAAAGGGAATGTAAATTATCTTACTCCAGTCACAAGCTAAAGTACAGGGTGGTGACAACTAATTGTTAAACATGTGTATATTCATTAATCTTTTCATTGTTGTCCTCGATAGATAAGTCAATTATTTTGACCTATCGGGGAAACATTTTAGAGTGTGTTAATTCCCAGAGCAGCATGGTGTGGTGTTACTCAAATTCAAATGTCAAATCAGTGCCTTTCAGTTTTTCTTCATACATCATCATGAACCTTTCATTTTGAGCAACTGTGAAATAGTTTTTCCAGTCCCCGATTTGACCCTTTCTCATAAATGGTGAAACTGAAGCATCAATCCTCTCACTTGATGAATAGTTAACGGCTTTGTTTGATTTCATGCTTTCAAATTTTGTGTGCTCGGTTAATTTCAATACTTCTTCCTTATCAATGTCTTTACCTAAGAATGTGGCAATTTTGTGTATTTGCTCTGTCGGTTTCTTTTTCATGTCTTCATATTTTAAGAAAAGAATGTTAGGCTCCATTTTGGCGAAGTTGTGCCAAGATACAACATGTTTGAACCAGCATCCATAGACTGTGTATTCGTTGATAAACATTTCAAAGAAATCACTCCAACTTCCTTTGTACAGCCCATAGGCCCTATTTGCTCTGTAAAAATGAAAATAGGACACTGCTGTATCTTTAGGATTGCGTGCTATGTAAACAACTTTCGGTCTCGTTGTGGAATTATTGAGATAATTCCTGGGAAGGCTTGAATACGGCACATGAGTTTTGATCAGTTTTGGCGGTAGCATCTCGGGTACTTTACGGATCTGTTGGATCATTTCGATGAATGAAAATCTTTCAGTCAGTGTTGTTTCCTTTGCTTTGTCTGTGTCGGCTCCGTGATGTAACAACCAAACAATCTCCTGGGTCCATGTGGTTCCTGGAAAATGACAAACCACAACATTAGGACATAAATGTTAAATGTCACCACCTGCCATTTGCTACAGATGCAGAACACAAAATGCCAAACGCTGTCCACAAAAAGTTGGAGACTAAAACAATGTGTCACCACTTCTTGTGGAAGCATAAAACATAAAACATCCAACAGCATTTACATTTTAATTATTAAAAAGCACAATGAGCAACATGTAAAACACTGGCATGATTTTTGAAAAGATAGCAACCATCACAGTATTTTATATTCTATTTTTGAATTCCTTTGAATATTCTGTTGGTCGAGACTTCTTGGTAAAGTATATTTACAATGATGACATCTATCATACTCATATAACAACAGGTGCAGCCAAATACAACGCTTTCAGCTTAAAGCAGATATGAAATGGTATTTTTTACCTAAAGGAATCAATATGATTTTTTGATAAATGTATTTGGACATGTTTTCTCATCAGAAGTGTGAAAATTATTTCACTCTAATGATCGTTATAGCTGCTTAATAAGCAATATTCGAATTGGTTGTGACGTTATTGGCCCCCACATGATCTCTCACTGGCCCCCACGTGGCCTGTTTTGGTCCCTTAGATCATGACGTCATAATGCCAAAATGTTTTGTTATTTGTTTACACAACAATCCTATGGTTGCCGTGACGTTGTGATTACTAAGAAACCAATAAACCAAAGCTATATTTTGTATATGACGTTACTAATCACGTGGGGGCCAATTTGATTGATCAGTTAGTTTTATTTCTTTATCTATGACCGTTAGCAGTTATCTAGCATTTATTTTATAATGGCTATCGCAAGAGCACTACGTTGGGCTTACAATGGAGAAAACCGCATTTTTGTAGCTTCAAGTTGAGAAAAGCTATTTCAGTTGTCCTTTAATAGATAATGCAAGACAGAAAAACAAAAACAACTTTCCCTCCATCAGGTCCATGGGTTAATTGATAGTCATAAAGACAATCAAACAGCAGTTATGCTTGTTAAAGTAATTTAGCAGCAATATTAATAAACCACTTCAACCACTGTTCTTATTTTACGTGAGATATATGACAGTTCCAATCCATGTAGAAATAAACATCTTACTACCTCAAAATGTTGAAATTATACCTGATTTGGGGTATGATGCTACTATACAGTCATCCACTGTCAATTCCAGATTATCATAAATGTCTGCCTCTTCAGAACCCTCGTGTAGCATTCCATCATGTAGCTTCACTCCCTTGAACACATGTTCATCAGGAACCTTGTACGTGAGTGGGCCTTCTTGGTTCTTTCCCATTTCTTTATCATGCTCATCAGACTTTGGATCCATTTTTCAAATTTTTACCTGTAATAATTTTTGAAAAGTTTCCAGTAGTGCTTTATTTCATTAATCATACAAGGGCAGGGTGACCGGAAAAAAAGGAGACCATTGAAGTAATCAATTTCTCCTAAACTAGACAAGTGCCATCAATGAAATTTTGCATACACTGGAACAGTTATATGGAAATTTGTTACTGAAGGTTTCAATACAAGCATTCAACTGGTTCAGGAGCTATGATCATTTACATAACATGCTCCAAATAGGCACAATTGAGACCAACGCAGAGTTGGATTCATATGGCAAACTACCCTTACATGTTCTGCCCTCTATGGCATTATTATGGCATTACATATAGCAGTGATTGCCTTCTTTAGGTCAACAATAGTCTGAGGATTGTTTTGGTATAGATTGTCTTTCAAATATCCATACAAAAAGAAATCAGCAGGATTCAAGTCTAGGCTGTAATGGCAATGACGGGTTATCTGACATGTGGTTCATCATCCTGTTGCCAAAGTGCTGATTTACCAAATCTTAAGAGTCACTTTAGGTATTGGGCATAGTGCCATGTTACTAAAACCACTATATGGCACAATTAAATCCCATATGAAAACCAAGGGCTGCCCAAAACCTCCTTAGGATGATACTGTAACTGAGTGGGACCACTGAGTCAGAAGCCATAGGTCAGATAAGCTTCGTCTCCATACACCTCAAATTTGAATCCACCTGATTTCTTTTTGTGGGGCAATTTGAAAGACAATGTGTACCAAAACAATCCTGAGACAATTGCTGACCTAAAGGTGGCAATAAATGCTAAATGTAATGCCATAACAAGGTCGGAATATGTAAGGGTATTTGCCAAATGTATCCAGCTCTGCGTTGGTCTCAATTGCGCCTATTTGGAGCATGTTATGTAAATGATCATAGCTCCTGAACCAGTTGACTGCTTGTATTGACACTTTCAGGAACAAATTTCCATAGAACTGTCCTGATGTATGCAAAATTTCATTGATGTCACTAGTCTATTTTAGGAGATATTGCCTATTTCAATGGTCTCCTTTTTTTCCGGTCACCCTGTAGAAAGAACTGTTTGTAATAGGAATACTGATTGCAAGGAACGAAATCAATAATTAACAAGACATTGACATGCAAAATGTCATCCGCTATGGCTCAGTGGCAGAGTCAAGGTTATCAATATCGCTTGGCCCTGGGTTCGATTCCCAGTTCAGACTAATTTGTTTGTGTGTTATGTAATTCTGGGTGTTTCACTGAGTGGTTCACGACTCGTATAAAAGGCTGTGGTGTGTACCTGTATGTCTGTGTACCTGTGCACACAAAAGGACACAGGGCTCCTCCAAGGAGGGGTTTCTGACTCTGTCTTCGAGTGTAAAATAAAGAATATACCAATAAGGTATTGCTCCCCAAATATGGCGGTAACCAAGATATAATAAAAAACACCTGCCATTTGTTGCAGACACAAACAACCGAATGTCGAATAAAATCATTTTCAAAAAGAATTAAAGAATGAACTTACATGTAATTCTAAATCCCAGTCCCCTTTATACAGATGATGATATGTGTGAAATTACTTATTGCAGCTATGTTATTGTGTTCTTATACCAGTATTTACAACATTGAATGATTGGTTATCTCTCAACACTTATATTTAAGATATCTCTCCACTTACACAATATTTAAGGTCCTGTAACGATGACCTGGAGTAAGTTCTGCCTTTATGGGCAGTTTGGTACCCTTTGCATTCGTTCGACTTCACTTCTTAAAAGAGAGCTTCGTCTTCACTCTTTCAAACTAAGATAAACCTGTGAACTCACCGCACCAATCAGTGTTCATCGGCCAAATTTGACCGACGTTCTATATATGGTCATTCCTTCTGACGTTATCCTTTAATATTAGCACGCATTTGGCTAGTTCAACAAGTTAAACCCAATACCACGGCTTTCATTTATAATCCGAGTGTTCTTGTTGCCGTGGTTGGGTTTAACTTCCGTGCTATGCTTTCATTGGTTGCAAATTCTCACTATCAGTTATTAATAAAATGCGCATAGAACTCTATGCGCTGCCATAGGCCATCATTAACATTTTTTGCATCAAGGGCCGAATATGCACGGATGTTAAACCTAGGGCGGGCCACAAGAAATGTCAGATAAGAAATAAGGCCCAGACTAGGTTTAACTTGTTGAATAAGCATTTGGCATATGTTTCTTCAAGCTCACTGATTGGTGGAAGAAAGGTCAACGTGTAGGTCAGAAGTGATTTATTACCCAAACTGTCACCGGTACCCGTCGTGGGGGCTACTAAACTGTAATATGGTCTCTACTAGGCAGAGTGTAGTTTAACTAGACTCTGCACGCAGGGTAGCAGTTTGGGCAAGAATGAAAGCATATCCCTTGTCACATTTACATAACTGATGTTTTGCATCTCTTTATTCCCATGACTCAGTAACTTCATATCAGTGATGTCATATATCTGTTTTCGAGTAGACTTCACAGGGTTGCAATATGTCATGAATGAATAGTACAATAACGTCATTTCTAAGGGCAATATAGTGAAATATTGGACCGAGGGCCTAAGACCCAAGGTCAAATATTTCACTATATTGCTCGCAGAAATGACGTTATTAGTATTATTACCACCGTTAATGACCAGGACTGAAACAGCAAGGAAATCTTACGCATTGAACGATTTCTAATTTCCCGGGGAAAATTGCCGGTCCAGAATATATTCTAGACCGGTCCATATGGACCACCACTGTGACGTCACACATTTCTCAGGTCGATATAGTAAAATGAATGCCTTCTAAACTAGCACTAAAACCCCTAGAACTGGCCCGGCAAGGTGGTAATAATGTGGGGTATATGAGCGTGTATAGCCTGCTGACTTTTTATTGGCTCCCATACAAATGCTTTGCAAGGTTTGTGTACAGAATGTAATACATGGTTACCTATTAGTATGGTTTGAACATTGACCCAGTAGTGTTATCAATGTACTGATTTCATATGTACTGAACATAATTCATAAAACCATGTTATAGAATTAAATCGTATGTCAAAAGTCAATCTCATCTGTATTTAAAACTATGTTTTTTATGTCTCTCTTTGATGTCGTTAACTTTTTGATTTATTGTTCAGATTTCAAGGTGCTTGATTTTTCAAAATATCCATCTTTCAAGTTTTTTAGTTGTTTAATTTTCAATATATTTGATTTTTAAGTGATTGAACTTGCAAGATGTTCAGTTTTTGAGATGTTTAGCCTCAATGAATTGGCGGTAATTGATGAGATATCTTATATTAAAGCTTATATTTTCATAAAAATGTACTGGTAAGAAAGCATTGAATATTCTAATGAGATCTAATAATAAGATCAGGTGTCTGGAATTTAGAATCTCATTAGAAATAACACCATGCAGGCCTGTAGCCAGGGGGGTTCGGGTGAACCCCCTCCCCCCTGGTCAAAAATTCTTTCAAAATCATGCAGTTTTTCACTATGCTGAGCACTTTTCAAGTGATTTTGGTCATTTTTTGACCAAAATTGTCAAAAGTGAACCCCCTGGAATTTTTCAAAAAGTGAACCCCCTTGGCAAACCTGGCTACGGGCCTGCCATGGATCTCTCTATCCTTGGAATGACTTATAAAGTTCAATAAACAGCTTCATATTAAAGTTTGTGTGTTCTGTACTTTCAGAGAATTTGACGACCCTGCACTGTATGACCGTGATCTGAAGAGGAAGTTAGAACAAAACAAACACATTGGACACAATAGACTAGAAGCTGTAAGTATCCATGGTTACCCGCCAGAGAAGAAACTGCAATACCGACATACTGTATGCGCAATACTGATCTATCAGGGACCTTTTTTGATCGTGATACTGGAAGACCAAAATTTTAATTTCCATTTTGAATTAATGTTTTGAATTGGAAATTGTAGTAACTTTTGAATCATAATATTGTGTGTGACTTGTTATTTCCAAAATATGATCCAAGTAAAATATATTTCATAGACTGTAATCCGTGTATTTAGCACAACCCCCAAATAAGCGCTCAGGTGCTCAACTATGCATGAAAAATGTTGATCCATCATTGAATTAAAAACATATTTCCTCATATGGTCATTGAAGAGTAAAGCCAAATTAGGAAATAAACAAATTGAAATTGACATATTTAATATTTCACTATCTCTGTTGTAAATTGCTTTTATTTTTTGAGAATATAACCTTTTGTTTGTTTTATAGTTTAATCAAAACAAATACTGTAGCATATAAATTATTATAACCCAAAATCAGTTAAAAATAAATGAATTGAAATTGTAGGTAATATCAAAGTTCACTTACAAACAAGAGGTAGATGGAGACAGTACAGCCGATACGGATGAATCTGAGTCAGAACTCCCAGCCAATCAGAGTGGAGCAGAATCAACCAATGAGGAGGCAAATGGCAAAAAAGGTCTGTGAAGGTAAAATTCAGGTTAAAGGGCAGGGAATGTCAGTTATGGTTCTATACATGTAAATTACTGTGTTCAGTGGGTCTCTTGACATTTTTGCTTAGAGTAAGAGTGACATTCCAGGATTGAATTGATTTTTATGTCAACACTAAAAGTGTTGATACATGTATTGTAATAGTTTGGCAGTCAGTATCTGTACCAAACAGCAGGTGGTGACATTTTGCAATGCCTTGTTACAATTTAATTGCATTGTCTTGCGTCAAGCCTCTATTTTACTCCCCCTCACTCTGGGAACTCTCAAGTTATTGAAGTCTACACAATACTACACATATGTGTGATGGACAAAGCATTTAGGGTCTTCACTTATAAGATGGTTTTTGCTCATATAATGAACCTATTGGATTGACTAGGTGTCCATTTATCCTTTGGTTCATTCATCTCATTACATAGATGGTACAAATTAAAACTGCCATACCGGTTGGATCATATCAACAGTTATTCTAAGTCTATTATTCTATATTCAGTAACTGTGTTAATGTCATTTTTAGCTCATTTATGAAATCATCTTTGCCAAATAGACAGTTCACTGTGTTAGCATACAGACAATTGAGGCTTCATGTTAATACTATTTACCACTATCTACCACTCTCTAACCTGGGTTTTGTAATTTTTTTAATTTATTTTCTAATTTGTAGCTATTATTTCATCATTTACAGTTAGTTACAATTACTCAGATGCGAGTAGGTAGTTACCAGTTTCGCCACCAGGTGGCTGATTCGGGGGAAATAACATGGCAGGGTATTACAAAATTCCCTTAAACTTGAATATGCATCAGTTTTAATGGTTCACTTTTCAAATTACCCTTATATATGTGATAGTTATACAAATTAAAATATGTCCAGTAAAAGAAAATATCTGCCCAACACAAGAAAAGATATTTCACTTTTTGTAGTTTTACAACATGGGGTTTATGGGGAATCTCCCCGACCTAGAAGTCACATTTTCAAAGAAAATTAAATTTTCAAAGTTGATAAACTCTTTTCAAAACATTTTTAGATGTAATTTTATATGTAGATTCCAAATATGACACCAGTTTGACTGAATTGTGAATTTTTAATGATGTAAATCAAGATTATTTCTACTTGCATCTAGGATATTGTATTTAATTATAATATTTTAAATGAGAAATAGTTGTTCTTTATTCTTTATGAGGAACAGAACTATCTTTTAAAGCTGATAGTTTACTTCATGGCTGCATGATAGCATGCATCATTGTAATATTATTGATGGGAAAATAAAGGGAATGCATATACCTTTATAGTGAAATGAAAAATCAATCTTTATAAATATTGTGATTCTTATATTTTTGTTTTCCAGATTCATCTCGGACCCCTAGTCCATTATCGCCAAATTCACAGTCGCAAGAGCTGCCTGAAATGCTGGTTTTGTCCGATGATAATAGTGACAAAGAGCAAACTGGACCTGAAGACAAAAGTTTAAATTCAAAACCAACCCCTAAGAATATAACATCTATGCACTCAGATACAACAGTTATTGAGGATAATAACAGACACAAATCTAATTATGAAACTCCAAAGATGCCACGGAGAATAAAAGTCTCTGATCTTAAAAGTGGAAGCCCCAGAGATAAATCAGAACCTAAACCTAAATCAGACAAGCATTCATCCCCAGGAATTAAACCTATCACATCCAATGATACAACAACCCCTAACATTAAATCTACAAACCCTATGAGTGATACAACCCTTGATGCTAAATTTGTGAACCCCACAGTTGATACAACCCTTGATGTTAAATCTGTAAACCCCACAGTTGATACAACCATTGATGTTAAATCTGTAAACCCCACAGATGATACAACCCTTGATGTTAAATCTGTAAACCCAACAGATGATGTTGAATCTGACAATGAGATTACCATAGTAATTGATGATGAACTGCCTGAAATTTGTGTAACTCCAAGAGACCGGACTCCTGTGGATATCCACAAACAAAATAGGCACAAACGTAAACCAGAAACAATCTTTGATAGTCAAGATAGTCAGGAGTCTCAGGAAAGTGACATTGCTATGCAAGAAAATGATTGGGATTTATTAGAAGATCCTACATCTGCTGAGTACAGAGAATCAAGTAGTCAAGAAATTCTAAATGATACCACCAATCTTGACTCTGATATTGAATTAGAGGAAACGCCTATGGATACATGTGATGCCCAGAAAGATAGTGATGTATGTATAAAAAGTGAAACCTCTGGAAGTGTTCACATTATTGGAGTAAAAGTCATCAGTAATAATGATGACGTCATAAAGGAAAGAAAAAAAACTGAAAAAGATGCTCCATCTGAAATTATCAGATCTCCAGGAAAGAAAATCCGAAAATCAGTTTACAAACCAAGTCCATCAAAACTGAAATTAAAAGTATCCAAATCGTTTGCAGAACGAACGAAAAAAATTATTATTGCAACACAAAATAAATCTGCCCCTACAAGTGATGAAGAAGATCCTACAGAAGGTAAAGCTAACAATGGTAATTTCAATGAAGCTGCTACTTCAGAAGATGAAGCTAGTCCTAATCTGTTTGAGGACCAAGACATAGATTCCAATCCAGAGTCTTCTAAACCTCTAAATTTTCAAAATGATAACAATGTTAAATTAGACACTAAATCAAAGCAGAAAATTGATGCTTCTGAAGATTCTGAACCTATAACTTTGGAAATAGATGATGAGGATGATGTGAATGAACCTGAGGTCAAGAAAAAAGAAAAGATCAGTGATGAATCTGATACCAGCCTTGATGATGAAATAAAATCTAAAATGGAGGTTGCAAATGTTATATTTGAAGAAATAAAAGAAAAACTAAATGGTGTACAGAATGTTGATTCTGACAGGCTATCGCCCAAATCAGAAGGAGTCAGTAATGGTCCAAACCAAAAAAGCACCAAGGAGCAATCTCCAGATATTTTCTCCTCCAATTCTGAAGATTCACAAAATCCTACCTCAACGGAAGTTCAAAAGAAAAGCAGGCGGTTTGCTAAACTTGACAGACCTAGCACTAAAAAGCGAAATACTGGCCGTCAAAGTATAGAAATTATTGACGATGAAGATGAAGAAAAGGAAGTTTCATACTCAGAGTATGAAACTGATTTTAGCTCAATTATAGACTCTCAATCTCAGGATTTGATTTCATCGCCCTTAAAACATTCTACACCTTCCAAACCTTTTAACAGAACTACTAAAGTTCATAACTCAGGAGGCAAGCATTCCAATCCCAAAATCAAGACTGTTCAGAACTCTGGATTAACCAATCAGATCAAAACCAGTACAAAAAATACTTCCACAACGATTGGCAAATTTGTTACAATCGACCACTATGCCGCATCAAGGGATAAAATTGTTGCACCTCTCAATGCTGCAACAAATGCAATGGGATCAAAGTTGACCAAACCAATATCAGTTGCAACAAATCATAAGAATTCTCAATCACAAAGATCGCCCCAATTTTCCCCGGGGCTAAAAATTGAGTCATATAGATCATTGTCAACCAACGATGAAGTTACTGTACGCAAACCTAAAGTAAACCAACCACAAACTAAATCTGATCACAAACCTAAACATCAACCACAAACTAAATCTGATCAGACAAAATCTGGAGATATTATTGTTTTAGATTAATAAGTGTAAAATGCAAAAGGATTTTATGCATGTTCACCCCGGAATAGCCTGACAACGGTAAAGTCAGATACCGTTGTCACAAATGGCGGACATAAACGTCGCTTCAATTAGATTTTAATGAACTCTATGTTTAATAGAGCACCTAGACTAAATTCCTTTGGAACAACAATCAATCAAAGTGTCTTTATACTCATTGTACAGTTAATAATGTTCTACCATCGAAATAAAGTCTTTAATTTAACTGATCAAAATGAGATACGGGACAACGGACACTGTAAGTACATATGCCGTTGTCTTTCTAAATTACTCAAATTCAGATCAATCAAAGTGTCTTTATACTCATTGTACAGTTAATAATGTTCTACCATCGAAATAAATTCTTTAATTTAACCGATCAAAATGAGATACGGGACAATGGACACTGTAATTACATATGCTGTTGTCTTTCTAAATTACTCAAATTCAGATTCCGTTGTCATTGACGATATCGAAGATGCTATATTGTGGCGATTCACAACCCAATTTGGTTGAAAATGGGATTTCATATGATACATTATCACAAGAGCTTAATGCATGCACAGAATTAGCAACGATAAAATCCCATGAAATGAGGACCAAGTGATTAAACAGTTGAAGCGACGGTTATGTCCGCCATTTGTGACAATGGTATCTGACTTACCGTAGTCAGGCTATTCCGGTGTGATGTTGGAAATTGTTATAAATATGAAATTTTAAATACTGTCCTTTAATACATGATTCAACAGTGTCCAGGGCTCTAAAAAAAATCTGAGTGCAGTTGGACAAAATGACTTCACAGATCAGTCTGTCTTGTCGCAATATTATTTTCCCATACGAGACAAAACAAATTGACTGGTCTGTATCATAAGTAACCTGCCAATGTTCAGTGGATCAGATCTTAGCTCAAGCCCTGTCAGTAGTCAAGGAATAATGTGTATGTCATTAGATACATGGCTTAATTATTATCAAACAGAATCAAGTTTATTAGATAATGCGTTTTATGGACAACTAACTAAATGAATTAATGCATTTAAAATGGTGCATGCCAAAATCATGTTATTTTGTGGGTTTTCCTCTGAACTTTGCCAATATTATTTTTATTTTTTTATGTCAGAGCAGGCCTATTCCTGTTAGCCTGTTTAGTTGTAGCGTAAGTTGTAAAAAGATCTATGATGAAAGTACCTAATATGATATCTGGTGATGCTTCTTTCCATTGACTCCCATAAAATTACACAATTACATACTATATATGCAATACTGAATTAACTGAATATTATGTATCTAGGATATACAGCTATACACCCAGTATTATTGTCACCAGTCCATCACAAGTGGGCACATATTGTTGTTATATGGTCCCCAACTTTTTTGTAGATGCTGTTCGGCAGTTACTATTCGGTGGTTGGCGTTTGGTGTCATTTTGCATATTCATGCCTTGCTACAGATGAAATGTCCATGGTGAATTTGTTAATTTTGGATATATTTTGTATACTTTTGTTATAAGGGTATGATACACTCTTGCTCATATGTATGAAAAGCTGCTTTTCTAATCATGATTAACAATATATCATGCTGTAAATTACATATATACTGTACAGTATATGGCAGGCGCGTATCGTGGTCATTTTGCAAGGGTACGCCCCCGTATGTGGATGAATAATGTGTGAAGATGAATGCGATTTTTGGCATATGATTTTTCGTGCAGACCTACCATAGGTTCTGGGTCGATATAAAGATGGCAGCACGAACGTACAAGAATGACGCAACTCTGAATCACGAAAAAATTTGAATCTTTGAATCACGAAAACAGTGAATGGCAATGAGGGAATCGAGAACTTATTGTTAATACACTTGTACGACAAAGGTTTACACATCATCAAAGAAAATAACAGTAAAATACTGAATTTCATGTTTTTTCAAAATATTTTTTCAAATTCAAACAGTACGCCTGGGCGTATTTTGCGTACATGACGATACGCGCCTGTATGGGTAGTATTTGAATATTGGTACATGTATTTGGAATTTCTCTCTTGGTGTGCTTAAGTTCTTTTGATTTATTTATTTCTTGAGTAATAATTTTGTTCCATACATATATGAGCAGAGGTGTATTTTTGTGGTAATTTTATTGTAACTAAATGTTTTATATATCATTATGTGAAACTTGGTTTTATATCAGGGATGATAGAAAGGGTTGTAGTCAGAATCTTAGATTAGATGAGGCATATATTAAATAGGCGTGGCAAGTTTATGCTAAATGAGGTATATTATTTCATGCAGCATGTTTCACACTGTATATTTTGGTATTTGTTTCACCTTCTCCACGCCTGGGTATATCATGAGGGATTTTATAAAACATAATATTCTGCCTATTATTGTGTATAGGATTTTATGCGAGAAACATGTGTATAAAATGATGTACATAAATTATTTAATAAAATAAAAATCTCAAACATAATGATGCAATAAATAAACTATAATTTAACCTTAGTGTCATGTTGGATTCATCATTTATTTAGTATGTCAAAACTCTAAGATGTCTGAGAGATACAAATAAAAACTGAGTTCATATCGTGCTAAAATAATAGTAAGAGACATAGGACCATTTAACCCAACCCCTCTATACCAACTTGCTATGCCACTAAGTGTCCTAAATCACATTAATTAGGTACATGCAGAGTGTCCACAAACTCTTCACAATTCCAATACAAAGCCAGGAGTCCAGGATGTGCATTTATTAGAACTAACACGATAATTACATGAATTAAGCCCCTGGTAATGAAATGGTTAATAAGAGAACGTTTTGACAAGTGAACCTACATAAGCTGACCAGATCCTCAAAGATGACATTACCTTTCTAATGGTATATGTATGTTGGAGAAATCAAGTCATTTATATTTCATGAGACAACTTTTGCTCAGTTAAATAACATTGGCACGAAGATACTCAAGGTTTGAGGTTCAAAAAAGAAGATGTTTGCATGATAATTATGGCCATATCTTTCTACTTCCTTTATTCACATGATTTCAATTAATAAAGCAAGCCTCAAGAAGTTAAGCATAAAGTAAGTGTCGAATGTCCTTAGTAATAAAACAATTTCAGTTATCTGCTTCCAAAGTTGGATACAATGACTAGTGCCCCCGGGAACAGGATTACTCCGAACGAAACTAATAAAATATGGGGCGGTTCATGGCCTGCAATAAATTATTCAGTCCGTAACCCACAAGCGGAAGTTACATATTTTTAAGAATTTCTTTAAAGATTTGAATGTTTATCATAAAAAAACAACCCAAAGGGTGTATTCATTGATAAAGGAAGAAGTATGAATGTCGACCTGTTGTCCCGGGCTGACAATGATTACTTCAAGGACGACCCATTCGCCAAGGATGATCTCAACTGGGGTGAGTATTTTTTTACTGAAAATTATTCTTGATTCTTCAAGATTGTCAATGATCGATGACGTCAGAACGATTAGAAGCGATAATGATCCGAATTTACCTCTTTCAAAGGCTGATTCATGGCTTATGTAGTTTCCCTAACCATACATCCAGTAATGCAATTGTGCTCTGTGTAAATCAAATACTGAAATCAGCTGCTTACTTTCATCCCTGGTAATCAGAAACAATGAATGGAGGAGGGAGTAGCCGATTTCTGCTAGAAAATTCAACAAATCTGCAAGATTTATTTTTCATGAGAAAGTTCACAATTAAATTGCTTGATGTTACCATCTTCTAAGGCCACTGTGACTTGGCCTTGGTCCAAAGATTCCTGCATGTTTAACGGGTCTTATCGTAATCATAAAATTTGAAATCAGTTGTACGCCATTTTTCAACATCACAATTTGAATTGCTAGTTTTGGTCTTATTACCTCACCAAAAATTCCAAAGAAAATTGAACTGTCAAAAGAACAGAAATTACTTAACAACTCATTTATATCAGAGTACCCATTTTCCCATTTAAAAGCCTCAAATAGGAGGGATTAAAGCCTTCAACTGCTACAGTCTTCTAATTTTTTAGTAACTCCTTATCCTTCTATATTCTGTTCTAGACTCATTGTAAATGAACATCAAAATTGCGGAAATCTTCAATGATTTTTGTATAAGACTTGTTTTGTTGACACGCCACAAATATCATTTCCGGAAATGTGGATGATTTGGGAAAACCTGTGTAATCTTTCTTTCTTCTTTCATATTCTATCGTATTCGGGGATTCCCCATTACATCATCTCTTGCATCATCTCCAATCAAATTGCAGGATTCGATCACGTGAACAATCATGAGCACGTGCTCTCTCAGTGCTGCGCATGCGCAGAGTTAAATTTGAAATCGGTGGAATGGCGTTAACAGCAGTTCAACATCATCATTTCAAACCTACGGTAATACTATTGAAGTTACTCGATCCATACTTATAGAGAACATTTGGAGATTCATTTCAACGGCAAATTGAGGCTTGTTTATAAAATTTGTTTTCGAACGTGCTAATATGATAGGTCATCTTATCATATCCCCCCCCCTGCTTACAGTATTAATTTATGAAGTGTCAACTACCAGATCAAGCAGGCACGTGAGGGTCACATTCATGACTAACTCTCATTTTTCTAAGTCAACTGCTTGCTTCTTTAAATGCTTAACAGAGAGTAGATGAAGTAATCATCACAAAATGAATTTAAAAATGAGTTATAAGATTTTATGAAAAAATAATCAAAATACTACAGTGAATGGAGGGGGAAGGGGGGAGGTCTAGAATTAGTCCCCTTCATTCACTTTGCTCCCCCTCCATTCAGTGTATAATTTTATTTTTTACATTTTCAAGTAATTTTTATTAAAACCAGGAACGAGATTTTATGATGATAATGTCATCTATTAGTATTTATAACAGGTCATATTATAGATCTCCACTGTTTGATTTCTAGCAGATACTGAGTATATTGACTTTTGCACATTGTTTCACCTTTTTTAAATAGATCTCACACCCTAGATGCATATCAGTTAAGAATAAATCATAGAAAACCTTTTAGATTTTACCACCATGCACATATTCATTTAGTGATTTATTAATAAACTTTCTTGTGAAAAAATAAATCTTGCAGATTTGTTGAATTTTTCAGCAGCAATTCTATTCTTTTTTCCTATTAGTGGATGACTTTATTATACACATTTTTCTCACATCACCATCAACTATATCTGTGCCAATCAAGATTTATTTTTTTCAGTCAAGTGGACATTTTCAAGCATAAAAATGATCAGAAGATTATTTTCAATCTCATCCATACTTCAAAATGATAGAAAATATAATTTCTTTCTTGATCCTTTACCCGGGATCCTTTATAAGTATATGTGTGACAATAGAGAGATTTTGCAACTGCATTAACAACACAGGTTTATAAATTCCTTATGTTTATAATGTATAAAGTGTGTCTACTATCGTGAAATCAATTGTCGCACAGCTCTATCCATTTATATGGAACCATCACTTATAAGACTTTGTTTATAAGTGAATAAATACTTACCTCATTTAGACATAGTTATTAGTAGTGAATCATTGTGATATTTGTCATGAATTCATATTACTATCTAATACACTAGATGCGAGTAGAAATGATCTTGATTTACGACATTAAAATTACATCTGGAAATGTTGTTTTAAAAAGTGTTTATCAACTTTGAAAATTTGGTTTTCTTTGAAAATGGATTACCTGTATTTTACAAGCGAGCAGGCGACCCAGGTGGGCGCTTTTGTTTTTTCATAGGGGTGGTAGGATCAAAAACACATTCCAAAATTGATTTATGGACTATCTTTGAGATTATGTTGTCATAACAAAAAAAGCTAACATAATTGGGCCTTAGGCCTACCCGAATTAAAAGTATCCAAATTGTCCTTGAAAATAAGAAATCAAGTTTACTGAAGCAAGGTTTAAATTCTTGTCAATCGTTTGTGACGTCACAGGCGTGCTACCTAACCAACAACAAAACAAACAAGTATATGGTATCGTTCAGTGCTTTACACTACTGATGGTATCAGGCCGGGGTATCAGGGCTTGGCAACTTTTTTCTCCAAGCAGATCTTGACAAAGAGTTTGCTGCATTATCTTGTTGGACGTATCTTGTTGTTGTCATCTTCCGGTCAGGTCAAGGTGTCACTCCTGTAAATCATTGAAAAAAATTGAACAAAATTACAGAATTCAAGTTCTGGGGTACATATCGTCATTTTCGAACAAATTAGCCCATACCATGACTATATTTCTGCGTTCCCCTATACATAACCTTCATCTTGAAACTATATTTAACATAGGGTTTGCGTCTCGATTTTTTAATATCACTACGCCAACATAGGGACTCATTTTTAAGTAAAATCCCTGCTTCACCGATGAAAATTAACGAATAAAGTAGTTCCGATTTATGGGACTATATTCTTGCGATTTTATTCTAAAAATGGCACATTAAGAAAGTACTTGGCCTCGGCTTTACATACATACCTCAAATGGCCATAGTAGATAAACTTAAACCTACTATACACACCATTGAAGTTGGTATGGCTTTGTTTTTAAAGTATTAAAACCGGAGGTGGTATTTACCGGAGTAACACCTCAAGGACACTGGATTTTTAACTTCCGGTCAAGATTTTAATTACACTAAATTTAGGAACTTTCCAAACAGTTTCGGCCTTTTAAATCCTGTGTAATATTTTGCAATATTGTTCAGTTTACTTATGTCATGCTCAGTTTGTCCCGATTTTGAACGATTTTCGTTCGATGGGATAACAAATGGGTGCTATCTTGTGAAGAGCAAGAAAAAACGAACCTCGCGCGGATTGCCCTGATTCCTCCCAATTACACATCCCAACCTTGCTTCAGTAAACACGATTTCTTATTTTCAACGACAATTTGGTTACTTTTAATTCGGGTAGGGAACTTTTTCCAATTGTGGTTAGCAATATATTCTTATTTTCAACGACAATTTGGTTACTTTTAATTTGGGTAGGGAACTTTTTCCAATTGTGGTTAGCAATATATTCTTATTTTCAACGGCAATTTGGTTACTTTTAATTCGGGTAGGGAACTTTTTCCAATTGTGGTTAGCAATATAGTTACACGACAACAGAATCTCAAAGATAATCATGCAATAAAATAATTTTGGAATGTGTTTTTGATCCTACCACCCCTATGAAAAAAATAAAAGCGCCCGCCTGGGTCGCCTGTAAAATATAGGTAACCTTGAAAATGTAAGTTCTATAGGTCGGGGAGATTCCCCATTGACCCCATGTCATAAAATCATAAAAAGAGAGATATCTTTTCTTGTATTGGACAGATAATATTTTCTTTTACTGGATATATATAAGTTTGTATATCTATCAAATATATAACAGTAATATGAAAATTGAACTAAAACTGGTGAATATTCAAGTTTAAGGGAACTTTGTAATACCCTGCAATGTTTTTTACCCTGAATCAGCTACCTGGTGGTGAAAATGGTAACACTCACATCCTTGGGAATTCACGCTGGGAACAAGGAATTTGGAGGAGAAAATGATTCATCCTTGGTGAAAAGAACATTAGAAGTCCCTATGAGGACTTTGAATTTGTAGTATAAATAGATTTGAAATCAAATTTAGAGCCCTGCTTCAAACTGCAAAGAAAAAGCTCAAAATTAAGATAAAGGTTACTTATTTGTTGGTTGGATTGCAGCCATACATGTCCTGCACAGTTCAACATTTGTAAGTCACTCATGTTAGGCCTTCCCAAGTTGACAGGGCTGCGTATGGTGACATTTTGTCACATTCTGTGTCAGTAATTCTAGTTATTTATTAAACTTTCATATAAGAGGGAGATCAATATTTTAGCAGGAATTGGGCGGGGCTTACTTACATCACTGGCTCAGTTGGAGACAAACATGTTGTGAACTTTTCATATATTGCATCAGCAATTATACCTGCAGTTAGTGGTCAGTGTTCAATTGCATCTTGACCACTGCATGATGCAAGAGTATATTGCATTCATCATGATGCAATATTTTTTTGCCATTTGTGATGATGCAATAACGTCCATTAATATTGTTTGCCTTTCTTACATGTGATTATAATAGTACATGTTGGTTTATTTGTATAGGGACGGATTTTGGTGAGGTGCTATTGAATATATGTAATTGGTGTTTGTTGTTCAGTTTACTCTTGTTTGTTTACTTATTTGTGGCTTATCAAAGTTCAGAATTTTCACGCATTCTCAAAGCCCTTGCTGAATTTCCCATTCGCATTATTTAGTTGATTAGGTAAATCTATCTGATTTGATTTGTTTTAAAAACTGTACGTGTCCTCAAGGCCCAGTGATAATTTGCAATAATATTTAAATTGCTCTTGTCCTGGTCACTTCAAGCTAATTAATATTTTTAATATTTATTGGCTTTAT